CCGTGACCATGTGGGCAGTATGGTATGGGTTCCTGAATCATATCACAAGTGACCTGTACTAACATTTCAACAAAGGATCTTTGCGCTGCTGCTCTACAGTTTGCTAGCGACACTCTTCGATCTGGGGGACATTTCGTCTGTAAATTCTACCAGGGACCCGAGGATAAGGAGTTCGAGAAAAAGTTGAAAACTCTCTTCACCAAAGTTTTCAGAGAGAAGCCTGATTCTTCAAGAAAGGTATTTCCAGAAGTCGAGCCATGATCCTCGATACAACTTACTAATTCCTTGAGTAGGAGAGCCGGGAAGCATACTTTATTGGCCTACGGAGGAAACCTGGTATTGCGATAGAGCACACAGACAAAGACGAATAGGTCTCTCATGTGTATCTATAAGAATTATTTGGCATTGGATTTACTATCTTATAATCCTTTGAGATAAATGGTGTCAGGGGCATGCCATCTCCTATGACATGGAAGCGAACAACATCATGACGGCAGCAATGCGCGAGAATTTCATTGTAGAATTTTGTGATACCTAGGCACGCCAATTCCATGCAAGACCCATTTGCCAGTCGTGTTTTGACATCATTTGCCGCATGACCTGGCCCAAACTCCACCCAAGGCCAATATTTTTCACCAACCACCCGCTTAGACCTTGAAACCGCGCGAACGTCTTCGGCCACGAGCACGCTCGAACTTGCGGCCCTTGGACTCGACATAGGGCTTCTGCAGGGGATGTTAGAGACTGTTACCGAAACGCCGTAAGTGGATGATATTACCTTGTGGCTGTGGGGACCGAAGCCGAAGTGCTTAACAGCCTCACGGGCGTTCTTGGGGCCACGTAGGATCAGGGTGTTGCTTCCGGTGGGAGCACGGAGAGCAAGCTGGTCCAGGGTGATGGCCTCACCGCCAGCGGCGACAATGCGAGCGCGGGCAGTGGCGGTGAATCGCAGAGCAGCGACAGTCACCTTAGGGCACTCGAGCAGGCGGTTGTCATCGGTGATGGTACCGACAACGACGACGGTTCGCTTCTCACCCTCCTTGTTGATGTTGGCGACAATTCGGGACAGGGAGACGGGAGGGCGGTTGATCTTGGACGTAAACAGACGTCGAAGAACGACCTTGTTGAAGGAAGAGTCGGTTCGGCCTACACAATGTGAGGCGATGGTTAATTTGAGAGTTCTCGATCGGGCTTGTTCGCTTTCAGGTGGGGGATTGGACATACGGGCCAGGAAGCGGTAAAGCTTCACCAAGAGCTTAAGGTAGACATTGTCGCTCTTGGGGGCAGTGCGGTGAGTGCCCTTGACGTGGTGGCGGTCGAGATCGATACCTGTGAGGTGAAGCCATCGTCAGCCATTTGGTTCAAGCATGCTCAAAAATGGGCAACTCTGTCTTGCGCTTTCGCGAACAAGATGGTGCCTTGGTCGCAGAGAAAGAGGCACAATAGCGCACTCCTTCTCTACTCGCATACAAAGGCTGAACTTCAATATCTTCACGTACCCATGGCGGCGGTTGTCGCTGTGAAATTTGGCGATGTTGGGTATAGAGGCGGATGCGTACAACACTTTCCTTCGAAAAAATTCAGGCCTTGGGATGGTGGGTCGGTGCAACTCGCTCCTTCCCGATCGAGGGCGGTCAATGACGGCAGTTAGGGTTTGGTAGTGCGTTCCTCGTAGCTGGCCGCCGAAAATGGAACTAACCACTCTAGGTCACCTTGACAGTGGGTCAGTCTGTCACCGAACTCACCTCGGTCTACGTCTACATATTTAAGGTACCTATGTAGGTATCACTTGGTCAACTCACTATACCTACTAGGTACCTAGTATCTATGGCCAGGACCATTCCCCACGCATGTCTTCATTTCAGGTGAGAACCATTTATAGATTTGCCAATTATGCCGTCATTCTACGACTTTACCAGTGTCGTGATGGAGAGAGGTGTCGAGGCAATGATGCAAACATACCTCTAATATCCTGGAGGGAAGACATGAAGGTCTTACTTGTAGCCAATCAAGTGATCCATGATAGGGACTAATATGGTATTTGTCTATCAGTTCAAGTGTCCCTGCCCCGTATCCGCCGCCAGATCTTTCGTTACCTCTATGCATCATCCAGTAATGTATATGACAGGCCTCGCACCAAAGCTTGTGCCATGTGCTCCAACTGCTTCATGATTGTACAAATCTACGTCCCTGACGTCTCCCATGACTGCGCCAGTCCGTTTCCTTTTTAGTTCTTTTCCCCAATGCCAAAAGCCATGCCTGAAGAGAAAACCTCTTCTGTAGTACAAACTATCTTCACATATCTATATAAAATCACAAGGAGCGTGGCTCAGCTTCGGGCCTGAGATCGACGAGAAAATCACGGGTCATCTCAAAGCTCAGCCAGCTTGATGCCATACTGGGGGCAACCTTGAGCAAGTTAGGCACTATGCCTTTATAAAGGCCCTTGATTCCTTCTTGCATCACAATGACCCGGATTGCATCTGTAATGCCCTTGTACTGGTAGCCCATGCCTGACATGGTGTTGATCTGGAATCGTCGCCGTAGAACATCGCTGTGTGTTCTGTAAGCAGGGCGATCACATAATTGTTACAGCAGAGCTACTTACAAGGGGTATGTGCAGGTTTGGGCAACAGCCCCAGATATGGCACCGGCCAGCAACTTACGAGTTGCGTTGGGGTTCTGCTCTCCTTCTGGCGTCAAGTACTTTCGGACTGATTCGTAAACCATGAAATTAAGACCGACCTGGAAGAATCAATCAATTCTTGAAACTTGTAGGTTAATGCAGGTGGGAGATTAAAGGCTTACGTATGGTGCTACTCCGGCAACTGTAGGAACAATGCCTCGATATAGAGCAGACATGCCACCCTCGGTCTTGTACATTTGCACCAGAGTAGTCCACATACCAGGCAGTTTGTCTGGCCTATTGCCTAGCTCGGCAAAACTTGCAGATTGGATGGATAACCGTGTACGAACAATGTCGAGAGGGTAGGTGAGGAAGACGGACGTTATACCAGCGATGCCACCGCAGATGAGGCGAGTAATCGGTGCCAAGTCAGCACCCGGGTAGCTTTCAAAGATGTTCTGCGTATGTGTCAGTTTGGTGGGTATGAGCGTGGGCCTCGCATGATGCATTGCATACCCGCTTATAAAAGTTATAACTGCTGAATTGCACAGCAGAGTACGGGACGATGCGGATACAGTTCGTGCCGTTGCCTCGCATGAACCCCCTCCAGCCTTCTTCCTTCCACATCTTACTCAGGGCTTTCCCTACTGACAGCTTGTACGCATCTCGTCCGACGCTTTGGATCTGCATGAGGATCTTGAGCCGCTCAAGGGGGGATACGACGGTTCGAGAGACAGCGCCAGCAACACCTCCTGCGCAGAATGCGGCAATCACTGGCTGAGAGATGGTCTCCCGGAACTGCATGGAGCGGCTAGGGGCCGCAGCCTCGGCCGAATTGACCATGTCTGGTTGTGACTATAATACCTGATTAGCAAATCTTTCATGAGAAAAATGGCTTTGCACCAAGACTGCATCCAAGTCAACAATCAGCGCATACATGACGTGACATACGGTGGAGGTGGACATGGCGACGGGAGACGGGTGAACGTATTGCGTCGTATGTGAGACAATGGCAATTGGTCCCAAGACAAGGCTTCGTCTTTGTTGAAAGCGCCCGGTTTAAAGTAGTTGCTAGATCTCAACCTCGATTGCGACAGTGGCGGGTGGCCTCAAAACTTGAATATCGTCTCCGGTATTAGGTATTTCCTGTCAAACGATTGTGTCTCGAATTGTTACTGTGGTTGAAAGAATAGTAATGGCATGCTGGAAGGTCGAGGTGAGGATAGAGTGAAAGCAACCATTTGGGGAGAAGTTTTAGAGTCTGCGCCAGAGCCGACACACGACAGGGCGTGCGGGCGGATTATTGGCGATTAGATCGTCAGCGGTTGGGTAGGTATTGTCTTTATATGAACAGCCTGGATCGATGATGGGAAGAAGATGTTGACGGACGGGAGACGGGATCGGTGCCGTCGTCAAGGAGCGGATGAGGGCGCGTGAGCCGGCGTTGCGGATGACTTCGGGGCGCGCGCGTGGTCCCCCGGTTTCCGCTCGGGAGAAGTAGTTAGAAGCAGGACCTGGAAAGCTTGACTGTGGGGTAGAAAGGTCTCGCAGCCAGGTCAGCGACTCTGTGTGCTACAGGGTAAGTAGAGGGCATATGACGGCGAGCAGATGTGTCGAAGTGATCATATGAACGGCGCGGGTTGGCAGCATTGGTAAAGACTGGCGCTTTGTGCGAATAAAAACTGTTCAGGTCTTGTTCGCATCTGGCCCAGTTTGGTGTCCCTGTAACGTTATCCTGTGCCCGTTCTACATGCCAGAGTCGTCTCTGATGAATCTTATTTGAAGGCGGAATCAGAGAGGCGCTGACTCAAGAATAGCTAGCTAGACACTAAAGCCAGCCATTGATCAGACTCCTTTCAGCTAGGCGCAGGGGCAAGGGGCTGAGAAGACACAAGTTTCATGGTGACTGGCCATGATAAGTCCCTGCTCTCTGTAGCGCGACCGCATGAACGGAACCAGTCACAGCCCTGAGATGTACAACGTCATCGTCAGCTGGTGCATACCCCCCAGTATCACTGCAAAGGAGGCTCGAGAATTGTGCGATACAGACAGATCGTTGACCCGTTGCGCCGAATCGTGTTACAAAACAGTCTACAGATAAACTACCTACGAAATGAGAACTTCCAAAGGAAACGCGCCGTGGCAAAAGCCTTCAGTCTTGGAAAGAAAAAAAAAAGCACCCATATCCGACCCAACATGGCATCTGCAGAATCTTATACGTTCCATGCCGTATTGGCTGGGCCTTTCAAACAATATTACACAGTGGACCTGTCAAATAATAGGGAGCAATGCCGGCCCTAAGCAGGTCGCAGAAACTTTTACTTGAGAAGCCTGGTCAGAAATGACAAGGGGTCTCTTGTTGTCCGAGAGTCGTCTACTCGGCAACATCAAGATCGTCATGAGCAGGAGGACTGTCGAGAGCTGTGCGCAGAGTGAGCCAAAGTCAAGTGGTTCAAGAGTGGGAAAACATACCCTTTCGCTCGTCACCATTCGTACCGTTCTCCCGTCGGTCACGATCATCACGCTCATCCTTGGAGTCACGCTCACGGTCCCTGCCGTCTGGTTAGCGTGTGTATCATTGGAGCGCCAAGTAAAAAATATACCGATGATCAGGGCTGCGAGAGCGATCCCTGTCACGTCGGCTCTCGCGATCATAGTCTCGGTCACGGTCCCTGCGGTCGTCCTTGCGAGGAGAATAATCGCGAGTGCTGCGGCGGGGAGAAGGAGAGCGTCCACGTCGAGGGGAGCGAGCACCACCACGTCGGTCACGGTCGCGTCCAGATTCGAAGCGCCATGAGGCAGAAGGAGGAGTACGAGCCCACTGATACTGGATTAGTAATTGCGCTTCAAATGTCTTGCTTGGGCTGCATACCTCAATCTTTAAAATGTCATCACGACCGATGCGCTTGTTGTGCATCTCATGGTAGGCATCATCAGCATCACGACGGTCCTCGTACTCAACAAAAGCGAAGCTACTGCCATGTCAGCCCAACTGCACGCCAAATCGAGAATAGAGCATACTTACAGCCGGGAAGACGTAGACCGGGGTGCGGGGATATCGCAGCGAACCAGTCGTCCGTAACTATCAGATTCAAGGTCAGTATACTACAGAACATATTGTAACGCAGCTGAACGCCGGCGGATGCCCCCTTTTTGAAATGAACGCTATGCGCATTCGCACGTCGGATCTCGAAAGACTCCGCGCCAACTCAATCGAAATGTGACTGCACAATGGACAAGCAGTCCCATCTACTAACGTGGGAAGACAGGGAAGGAGAGAGTGCTGGGGACGTGGGCGCGGACGGAACGAGAGGACGATGGCGCGAGGACGACGATAGACGGCGAGGCGTCAGGACCAGGCTAAAGACCATAAAAAAAGCCTGCAGCTCATGGTATAGACATGGACGAAGGCGCGCGCGAGAACGATAGGACGCGGACGAGGGCGAGGGCGTGGGCGTGGGCGTGGACGAGGTTGACATACCGTTCGAACTCGTAGGCGAGGTCGCGAGCGCGGGTGCCGTGGCTAAAGCCGGTCACGTAGAGAGTGGTGCCGCCGCGAGACATTGTTGTCTAGTAGAACTAGAGATGCTGGGTGATAAGAACGAATATGAAACTGATGCAGCAGTCCCGAAAAGTGCTGGGGGGGAGAATATTGATGGAAACGTGTTGATGATAGTGTAACCTCAAACAGTGTTGAAGTTGTACGATGCGGTCACGAGTGTTGGTACGGAAAATTTAGCGGCGGAAAGCTGACATAATGCAGCTAACCCCCCTAAAGTAGGTACTCAGCAGCCAATGAAACCAAGTCTACCTACCTAGCCAACTAAGAAGAAGTTCAGCGAAGTGCCTAGGTAGGCAGGAGCCGCAGACCCGCTTTCAGCCTTGCTTTGAAGCATCATGAATCGTGAGTGATGCAGAGAATTCGGGTCCTGCATAAGTAGGTACCTAGGTAGACAGGAAATTTCCGTGCGTGATGCTGAGGGATCTGATCTACCTGTGTTATTGTCTCCTCCGGTAGTTAATCAGAAGCTTTATTCGTGGTCGGTATTTAGATCGGGACACGGAGCTCAACAGGACGGCGCGCGCGCTCTATACAAGCCCGGAATCCGACACGTGGATGGATGGCTCGTATAAATTTGTGGAGGCAATTCACATTCATACTGACACCATCGGATCATCTGCCTGTCGGTGTTTTGTGAGCTCCAACTTATCCGTACTCACGGGCTATGATGTCATATCTCTCAATACCACCTTAGATTTACTTACCCAGCTTTCAATTACTACCTATGGTATGTGGCCCTTTCATCGCCATGTCAAGCCACATGCCACCCTGGACCTCAAGGTCTACGTAGAAGCTTGTGAAATAGAGACGGGCATATGCAATTGAAGCCTAAGCCCCATTGACGTTAATCCTTGCCATGACATCTCAAATCTTGCGACGATGATCTGAACATGTCGATGATACATATACGGATTACTGAGGTAAGGTACATAACAAATTGCTGGCTGTACTAGCTTGGTTCACTACTATATCTACATGCCTTGACTATGTCTTATATGCAGGAGCAGGAACAAGATCAAAGTGCTATCTGTTGACTTGACTGATCCTACAAGGTATAGAGGCCCATGTTACACTAGAGAAGAGTTGCAGTCTCTTTGTTACCGAGCATCCCGACAGTATGTGTAGGCCTCATCCACGTCTGCTGGCCAATGCATCCATTGCCTTAGTACCTTACCTACCTGGATCCATGCTGTGGAAAAGTTAAGTTAATAGGTAGTGGAGGGTCCAGTGGCCGAGGCTCTTTGCACAATGACGTTTTACTAATACTTTAACACCATGAGTCAGTCAGTCTTACAAGCCTTATCCACAAAGCAAGATAATAAGCATGATTGCTTTCCAGCTTTCCCTTATCAACGGCAACCTCGGACTCATCAACAAGTAATGAACGGTCGGCATCCGCGCGTTGTCAAATGCCGGCTGTGTCTTTTGATCTTCAGCCCGTGACATCCGATCATATCAATGCACGAACTCATTTGACAGCTATCTTAAAAGGCCGCAGTTACTTCTCTTTGATAGCTCTCCCATAGTTCCATATATTGATTTGTCTCCCAGAGAACACTGAATATACAGTTGATCTATTAGAATTTTTACAGCCTTCCCTAGACCGACATAGGAGGACATTATCAGGACTGCAATTACTTGACCGGCCTATCTATTTCGACAATAACTCGGATCGTCTATCTAAACTATCCTCAGCCTGCATTACTTATCATTATCAACCCAATGGTATCCTCAACTGCCCCGGGGAGGTCCCCGCTTTCCGGCCGCAGTATCGGGCAGCCGGCCCCGGAAGCCCAACGACCAGCACCGAGATCACTCGGGGAAGCTCTACGAGCCGCTGGTATGACAATTGACGGGCCCAGCCCAGGACTTGGCTCTGAAACACCGAGTGAAGAGGATTACGATGAGAATGTTCGACCGACCCTGACAGAGCCATCAGGTGTCCGGCATCGGTATCCCCGGCCTCGACCAGAAACCATATCCCTGTCTGGCTCTGATTTTGAAAAACTGCAACAAGAGCCTGGGTTGCGCTTCAAGCGTCGTGACTCAGGTATCCATCTTGTTCTAGATGAGGACAATAGCCTGCAACGGCTGCTTAAAACTAGCTCAGAGTGGTCACAAGAATCGACCGGTCCAAAACAGAGACGGCGAAAGTTTGCCGATCTTGTCTTCACTAGCCAATTCTCAGCCTTTGACCGTCATAGCCCATCAGCGTCGAACAGTCCATTTCATGGGTTTTATACATTATTTTGGCTCGCCGTTACTCTTTTCGTCTTCAAAATCTCGGTCCAGAACTGGCAAGTCTATGGAAACCCCCTGGGGACCAACGAAATCGTGCAGACTATGTTCCATCGAGATGGTATGATATGGCCTTAACACTTTTTCTTTCCGGGTTCGCGAGACTGACTGTGCCAAAGTTGTCGTCCTTCTTCTCTCGGATGGTATCATGTGTGCCCTCACAGCGGTGACCTGGATGATTCAACGACTTGTATCTGCCAACTACCTCAACTGGGATGGCGCTGGATGGGTTATACAGAATGTAAGTTACAATTGTCATACAAGAGCCTGGGAATGAAGCTCATGGATATTCTCAGATGTGGCAAACGGCCTTTCTGGCCGGCGTTGTTGGCCTGACTCTCTGGCGTGACTGGCCATGGACTCATACTGTGTTTTTTGTGCTTCATGGCATCGTCATGCTGATGAAGCAACACTCCTACGCCTTCTACAACGGTCACTTATCAACAGTCTATAAACAGCGTGCCAAGATAATGACGAAGCTTAGGCAACTAGACCTAGTTGATCCAGCCATGACCCCATCGCAGACTGAACCCCCGGCATCAGCCATCTCAACACAACATCTTAGTGTTACCCCTTCCGCCGAAGAGCGCCGAAAGTCCATCTCTGCGCAGCCCGGCCAGGAAGAAAGCGATATAGACAAGATTTCACGAGCCATTGCTTCTCACCAGCCCTTGGACGACGAGCAAGTAGCTCTCTTTGAGCGCATCATGAAGTGGGAGGTGGATGCAATGACCGATGAACTCAAGGGAACAGCAGCCACCATAGGCAAAGCTTACCCCAACAACCTGTCTTTTATCGATCACTACAAATGGATCCCTCTGCCAACTCTTGTTTATGAGATAGAATACCCACGATCAAACTCTATCGACTGGTCGTACGTATTGGAGAAGTTTACTGCAATGTTTGGGGTTCTATTTGTGATGGTTCAGGTCTCACAGCACTCTATTTGTCGGTTGCGTTCCTCTAGAAACTCCCATTTGCCATGCTAACTGAAACTCAGATCCCGTCGTCATGAAGACCATTGAGATGAAGGAGAAAGGCGTACCACTGGCTGGGAGATTTCAGGAGTTTCCAGGGTTCCTCCTCGATCTCATCTTCCCTTTTATGATGGAGTATCTGGTGAGCAGACAGAAATCCTCGCTATCTGTGATTGATTCTAACACAACATAGCTTGTCTGGTATCTCATATGGGAAACTATCCTGAATATCCTGGCCGAGTTGACATATTTCGCCGATCGAAACTTTTATGATGCGTGGTGGAACAGCGGTAAGTTATTCGCTATTTGTTCTCAGTAATGTAAGTAGTATGTAACTGATATCTGCTCAATAGTCTCCTGGGATCAGTTCGCCCGGGACTGGAATCGACCTGTTCACGTCTTTCTTCTCCGCCACGTCTATCATAGCTCTATATCATCTCTGAAGGTCAACAAGCATACAGCCACACTGATTACATTCTTTCTTTCAGCCTGTGTCCACGAATTGGTCATGTGGTGTCTGTTTAAGAAGCTGAGAGGCTATCTTCTGTTCCTCCAGATGTGCCAACTACCAGTGAGTTTTTGTGACCCGAACCTTGGATTGACCACTGACTGACTGGTTCACAGTTAGTAAGGCTGAGCCGCACCAAGTGGTTGCGTGGGCGCAAGACACTAGGTAACTTGATCTTTTGGTTGGGTATTTTTACAGGACCAAGTCTGTTGTGTAGCTTGTATTTGATCCTCTGAGAGAGGACTTCAGCCGGCAATAATAATGAAAAATGTCCCATTGATCTCTATTCCCGAGCAAAATCCTCATCACCTAGACCGGCCATAATACAGCGGATGATCACATCTATCAGAATGACGAATGGTACTGGATTGGCAATATGATGGTTGTTGGAACCAAAGCTTTTAGAAAATATCGAATATTCCTGCATACAAATAACCACGTCCTCAATCGCGCCATCGCCAAACAAGTCCCAACCTAGATCTACATCCTTTCGTGGGTAGCCATAAGGGAACCTAACAGTCGCATTAGCATATTGTACTTGAGAGCTCTTTTACGGTAGAACTTACCAATGAAGGTGGTGATGAGGCGGCTACGGACTTGACAGATATCTTCGGGAACCAGCCAAATAGTCGCGCCGAGCTTTCGAGCAATGCTGATACTCAACTTGGCGTTCAAGTAAGCATCCTCGTCAGTCTGCCCAGATGTGACAAGATCGTAATCAACATAGCTGCTCTTCATTCCATTCAGAACATCCAAAAGGAAGATGCCAGATCCGATTGAAGGGTCCTTGAAAGAGCGAATGGAAGAATTCCTGCCGCCCTTTCGTGACATATCGTTTGCCCATCGTACCATCTCAGAGTCGGTGATTTCTCGCTTGCCCAGCTTCTGAGCTAGTGAAGATAGAGTAACGGTGATGTCCTTGCGCATGAGTTGCCACACAAGACCCAGAGTCAAGGTCCTTTGCCCGTCAGTAATGTCAGCGCCTTGGATGCCAACTAGCGAGAATCCATTTTGCTTTCCAAGCTCAATCGCGTAATTGGTGTTCTCGACGGCCTTGAATCTCGACATCTCACCTCCATGCGCTGGTCTCTTGTTGACGTGACGGGGGTTGACAGAGCCCGGGATGACCTTCTCGTAAGCCTGAAGGAGGATACTGCCATCCCTAAGGTCATCAAAGAACGAGACAACTGCAGGTTGGACGTCCAGGCTGTTCAGCCACAGTGTAAAGACTCGAGCCTCGCGTTCGCCCTCCGCATCGAAATCTTCAACCTCGAGTTTCTCTTCCTCAGTGATGGGGTCGAGGGCGGGGTGGTTGTTGAATAGATTGGCGACGAATGCTAGGTTAAGCTTGGGGTTACCGGCGACGAGTGACTTTGGTGTCAAGAATTTGCGGCATCCGAGCTTATCTGCTTCTTGTAGGACCGCCTCAGCTCGCTCATGCAGATCCTGCTTTTGTAAAGGCGCACGGGTAACGCCATACTCGGGACCAATTTGCGCCAACAGAACCGAATAGTTTTCACCATCCTTAACATCAGAAGAGAAGTTCTTGACGCTAAGAATGGTTAGTTTCACGAAAGACAAATCATGCCAGACAAAACTTACGTGCGGGGCCAATTAGCAGCTTTCAGATGGTAATTGAACCATCGGAGGAGAATTTGCTCGGGGGGCAAGCGGAGAAACTGCTCAAGTGTCTCGTCCTCATCAAGCAGTCGATACAGTTCAGGATGGAGCTTGATATCGATCTTTCCTAGCAATCCTCGTCGAATGATCTGCCAGATGAGACCCAAAATAAGATGTTCTCGAACCTCAATGATATCACCAGCACCAATGTTAACAACAGAACAGCCAATACCTTTGGCAGACTCGATAACAATGTTGTTGTTCTCACTCATGTGGAAAGCATTGAGGTTCTTGATCTTCCTGCCGGGTATGTTAAGGACACGCTCATCAATTGTATCGGGAACGCTGTCGTTAATGAGCTTGGCTAGAACCAAGCCATCCTTGCACTCGTCGAACATTTCGAAAGTGTCGGTGGGGAAGGGGAGGCGGCTATCAATATCAGCATCGCCAGCCAGCACGGCATTGATGTGACGGGTAAATTCGGTGCGTTCATCCTCATTAATGGTGTGGGTGATGTTGGCATTAGAGCCCTGGACCTGGATCTTTCCGCTCACGCTACCCTTGGAAGCATGGCCTCCAGTACGTTGCGCGACAACACCGCCACCTGCAGAGGGAGGAGTTGGTCCCGTGGACATGCGCTTCTGAGCGGGCGATGAATCGCGAAGCTTGGCAACGAGCTGGCGCGGTATAGGTTAGTATATGTAGAAGGGCAAATGCGAGCATTCGGAACCTACGCTAACATAATCCTCGAGCTCAACGCGTCGCGAAGAGTCAAGCTCGACTTCTTTCAGAGCTTGGCGCACAACATCGTAGGGCTGATTTTCGCTCTGCTGGGTTGCCTTGATAGCGGTAGCTTCGTCAAGGTATCCTCTATCGTCGACGTCAAGCCGCTGAAAGGCATCGGACAAGCTGAAGATTTCGTTCTGTTGGAATTGAGGAAACTTCCTATTAAAACATAGTCAGCTTCGCGATGAAGCCCGCGAGTTCCGGTACGACCGACCTCTGAAGTTTCAAAACGTTCATGGCGGGGGAGGGCGGGGTGCTCCAGGAGGGCACCTATGCAGTTGGACAGCTGAGCAAGCGAGGGCGTGGTATGCTATTGAGAATCCGAAATCACCAGAGAGGTGAGGCAGTTCTCGAGCGCAGGGAGGTATTCGTGGGCTCTCCTCTCATGGGTTGAGGAAAAAGATGATGCGAGAATTGGGCACCTGAAAGGAGAGAGACAGTCTTTAGGCGGCGTAGGTTAAGTGAGTGGGGGAGATCCTAGTCTACCTAAATGAAGGAGGTACCTAGATGATGATGTCGATCAAGTACTATCCGACTGTAATATATGTACCTACGGGGGGCTCGCCAGCGATAGTTATACTTATGCCATAAACCGAAGTACTTTCACGCCACGTCACTGCGGGGAGCTTCCCTGCCAAGAGTCTCTCATACCTAGTGGCCTGCTAAGCGGTGATGTAATGTCGGCCATTCGAGATGGCAGTGCAGCGCTCCAATTTCTATTGTTTCAACTTTACTTAGGGTAGTTCACTTAGTACCTAGTAGGTATCATTCAGAGGCATTTAGTACCTCAAGGCCTCCAGGTTGTGTTGGTATTCGCAATCACTTACGACAGCAGGCCTAAGCACACAACACATGGCGTAGAGAATTAGTCGTTGCCTGCTGGCCTAGTAACCTACCTTACCTTAGTACTTAGGTATTGTACCAGGCAATACGGAGTATCTCCCTTAGTGATGCAAGGCAGCTAAATGCCCGCTTGTAATTCACTGCCTGTTGAAAAACGCTGTTTTATGAAGCCTAATGATAGGTACCTCACCTAGTGATTGATAATGCTTGCTCTTGTTATAGGTACCTCTAGATAGGTTCATCTATGTAGTACCTGACTGCTGTGTTCAGCCTACTAGGTAAGGTAACCTACAGACCTACCTATAGGTAGGTAGGTACCTTAGCTATGTGTCAACAGCCCGAGCCTACCAGTATTTGGTCAGGGAGCTGTCACTGTTGCAGGTCAAGGCTTCTACCTCAGTTCCAAACTTCCAACCACAAGCCCCACTCCGTTGCGTCAGGCCGAGCAAGTGGAGGGCATTGGATGAAAACTAAACGGTGGATACCTAACCTGAAAAAGAGTACAGTAAAAAGCTACCGCCTTGGGACTTATAGAATTTCTCATCCACCCCTTGCTGTGTCTCTCCCTATCAGTTTACAGCCAGCCAGCCAGCCACTCTCTTTTGGTACAAAGATGGCTCTCTGCAAAGTTTGTGAAGAGACGTTGGTGCTGCGTCTGGATCCTGAAGAAGATGTAGATGACGAGGCCGGGGCAGCAGGCCCCAGCACTTCAGAGTCATCCGTGCCCGATGATCTTGAGCTCCCTTGTGGATGTCACTTTCATTGGTAAGTCTTATTTGAGAACCCGGTTTGCTTTACACCTCTTCGCCCGAGTATAATAGCTCACTTAACCTTGAATAGGCAATGCTTGCTTGATCAGTCTTCAGATGTAGCCCTGTCCCTCAAGTGTCCCAGCTGCACCGCATACCTTCCTGTCAATGAAGGGGGCCCTTCGGTGACAAACACTTTCCTCTCGACACCCCCGGGTACCGCAATATTCACAAGATATACGAATGAAGGCGGCATTCAGGAAAACCTAGATATTCTTCCATCCATCACCGAAGAAGCATATCTTGAGAGTAACCCCGAGGCACGACCAGCTCGCGCGCTCCATGTCATGTGCGCGGAGGGTGATGTTGGCGGCGTTGTTGAGCTTCTCCGAGACGCTGGTGCTGGTATTGAAGATCTCACAGCCCTTGTAACCTACCAGGACCCTCTGGGAGACATGAAGAACGGGCTACACCTCGCGATCGAAAACTCACAGGAGGAATCGCTATGGCTTTTGCTTTGGCTTTGTTCCACGATCCCGGAGTCTTCTTTTCCAGAATATGCTCGCTCTGTGGCTGAGGCGACAGGTGTTGGCCGCCTGTCGGTGAATAGAGAAAGGGACATTCGTGGGTTGCGAGACTACCAAGGTAGGACAGCTGCAGACCTTGCCCAACAACGACAGGGACAATGGGGGCATATTCTTCAGACAGGTTTATTATCGCTGTAGAGTCAACACGCACTGCTTTTAATGACGTTCAAAAGCGGTTGCATGACCATTGCTGCAATCAGACAGTATGGTTTATAAAGGTTAAAATATATGAGGCCACATCTCCAATTCTGTGCCTCATCTTCAAGATGCTTTTTGGCATGAAACCCGGGACTGTTATAGATTCGTGTAAGTAAAGGTACCTTACCTTAGTAGTGTTTATGGAAGCCCCTCCCACTTTGATATTAGTTTGCCAACGAGTTCCAGAGAGTTCGGTTGAGAAGGAAGCCTCAAAGGAAGAAAATCTTTACACAAACATCGAGTCTCTGAGTAAATCCATCAGTAAACAATGTTGATTTTGAAGATACTAGGTAGTCTATGTGGTATTACTTCTCTCACGAGATAAGTCACCCAGCACCTTCTTCAGGTAAAATTGACATGTAGGACTTTCTGAGATACCCAGAATTATAGTCTCCATGGGCTTCAAAGAAAATGGTATTGAGTTAGATATCAAGGCCATTCTGAAGCTAGGTA